GATTAACTGAATTGCAATAGATAGGAAATTAACTAAAATAGTATTTATTAGAATTTGAGGGTCATGTTTTATTGTACTATAACTACTATATGGATAAATGTTGTATCTTCAGCTTTTTTGCCATAATCTTTAGCTGATTGTTGTTTATATGCTACTTCTTGTGTTATAAGATGTTGTTTGGGCTGGGGAGATAGCTCAGTAGAATAAGCACTTGCCTGGCAAGCACAAGGTCCCGAGTTCAATCTCTGGTCCTGCAAAAAAAGAAAAAAAAAAAAAAAAAAAGATGTTGTGAACATCTAAGTCCAGCAATTGGAACTCCTAGGCTTATATAAAATGCTTTAAATTTCTACCCTTCCAATATTTATATAAATCAAGGACATTATTTTTACAGTGCAGTTCTTGAAGCGGTACATCCTTTAGGGGAGTAATAGTTGCATTCTCTTCTCTCATTTTCTCATTGTAGGAAAACTAAAGCCAACAATGGCATTCATGTCAGGAAAATTGAAGATTAAAGGAAACATGGCTCTAGCAATCAAATTGGAGAAGTTAATGAGTCAGATGCACTCCAGACTGTGAAGGAAAAGAAAGAAAACTGTGGATGCAGCGCTATAAAAAGTAAAAAAAGCTCAACAATTAAAATAATGTTTGTTGTCTTCCCCATTGTATTACAAGGATATGCATGTTTGTCCTAAAAAAAAAAAAAAAAAAAAGGACTTTCTGTGTCTGTAAAACTAGAGAGTATAACTGAAATAGCTAGCCAAACACAGGCTTCATTCTAACACACTTTGTTTTTATAGTTTGAAGGTTCTGCCTTTTTGGTCTTATATGTCACCCTGTCCTTTTCAGAAAACTGTATGTTTTATGCAACCAATCAGGGTCAAGCAGTGGAATTAGCTTTTTACAATATTACTTTTCCTGTAAAATAAGGCTAGTTTGTTTAAAATTTTTTAGTTTTGGATTGTATACTAATGAAAACTATAATAATATGTTGTTTTATATACTTATTTCAAAGAAAACCTCTATGTATTTCACAGAAATTGTCTAATAAACTGCTTAATGAATACTATTTGTCAGAATTAATTCAAAGGTTTTTTCATTTTGTTAGCCATCTTTCCGGATATAATTATCTATAAGAAACTATTAATGTACTTCAACTAATTGCAGTACATACCTTTTTTTTTTTTTTTTTTTTTTTTTGGCAGAACCGAGGATCAAACTCAGGCCCTTGCACTTGCCAGGCAAGCGCTTATTCTACTGAGCTATCTCCCCGGTCCCCATACCTTATTTTTGTATGTATTAAAAACATTTTTCCTATTGATTTGCCTAAACATTTCATATAAATGGAATCATATATGACCTTTTGTGTTCATCTTCTTTCATTTAGTTTAATTTTTTTTTTTTTTTTTTTGTACTGGGGATCAATCTCAGGATGTTTCACTTTGGGAAGCAAGCGCTTAAACCACTGAGCTATCTCCCAGGCTTAGTTTAATGTTTTCAAAGTACATCCATGTTTTGCATTGTGTCAGTGTTATTAATATATTACAGTTGCTCCCTCAGCATCTCAGGACTCTTCTCTCGTTGTTAGGACAAATATCTGACACTCAAAATGAAGGAAGGAAAGGTTTATTTAGCTCATAGTTACTGGAGGTTTCAGTCCACACTCAGCTGGCTCCAAGGCAGAGTGGCACATGGCAGAGTACAACCCTTCATGGTGGTGGCAATGAGCATGAGTAGAGAGCAAATGGGAGGAGTAGCAGCAACAATGGCAACGGAGAGGAAGTCTGTCTCTCTTCTGTTACATTCAGGCTATCTGCCCCAGGCTGGGCGTAGTACGCACACCCATAATTCCAGCAGTACTCAGACCCATAATCCCAGTGGATCATGAGTTAATCACAAACTCTAGATGTCCGCCCCATGACTTAAATGAGGCTTTGGGGGGACAACTGGACACAAACCATAATGTTCAACATGCATTTTTAGGCCTGACATGTGACGCCCTGTTGTACCTTATTTCAAACTTTCCCTCCTTATGTGGTTGTTGTTCTCCCAATGACCCCAAACCCAACACATCCCACAGCTGCTAAAACTTGATGGTCAGCCCCAGTGTGAGTCCTGTAAATAAGTTCACTCCCTTTGCAAGTTTTCTTTAAGTTAGCCAGCTCGTAAGTCCCTTAAGAAAGCCAAGAGATAATACCCAGGACTACAAATTTCCTTTCTCTTCCCCTTCTCATCTCTCCCTCTCTCTCCTGAGCCCCCACTTCACCCACTATTTGATCTCCCTGCTGCCTCCTGATTTCCTGTCAGCATCCCTGTATCTTCTTGGGAATGAGTGAAAATCTTGCATTTTATGGTGTGTGGTTTCACCTCATTATGATTGTCTCAACTGATGGATACTCTCAAACTTTTCTCCTCTTCAGGACTCTACTAGAAAGTGACCTTTTATTTTTAATTTTTATTATTAATTTGATATAGGATCTCACTACATGGTTCAGACTTGTAGTGATCCTCCTGTCTCGGCCTCCCTAGTGCTGGGATTACAGGCATGTGCCACTACACCCAGTTTTGGTGGCTGGCACAGCATGCTTCTGGGGCCAGGAGGGCAAGTGATACCGGGGATGGAACGCAGGTCCTTGTGCTTGCAAGGCAGGCACTTAGACCGCTGAACTGTCTTTCCAGCTCTGAAAGTGGCGTTTTAGAAAGAGGACTCAAGACCAAATTAGAAACTATTGGGTTGGAGGTAGCTCAGTGCTATTCTCAAGATCCTACAGTCAGCCCCTAACACCAAAACATAACAGAAAACCACCATAACAGTAGTCTGACATTTTGGCACATACATATTCCCCAGGTAACCAGGGGGCCAAGAGAATGTCACTTGGCCTCAAGTATTCAACACTAGTATGGAACACAGTGAGAGCTTCTTCCTCCTACTCTTCTTCCTCCTCCCCCCCCACTTCCTCTTCTTCTGTATTTAGTACGGGGTCTACAGGGTCTCATTACACAGATGGGATTCAGAGTGATTCTCGTTTTCAGCGTTGCAAGCTCTGGGACTATAGGCACACGCCACTGTGCCCAGTCTCACTGTGTCCTGTCTCAAGGAAAGGGGAAGAGAAAGGAAATCTGTGGTCCTGGGTATTTTCTCTTGGCTTTCTTGAGGGAGTTACAGGCTGGCTAACTTAAACACTTGCAAAAGGAGTGAACTTATTTACAGGACTGACACTGGGGATGAGTCTGGCATGGCAGGCTGGGGATCAAACCCCGTCCTCTGCACTCTGCCTAAGCAGTTTTGGTTTTTTGAGACTGGGTTTGGCTATGCAGTTCAAGCTGGGCTAGAGCTCACTTTTTCTTTTTTTTAGTTGTTGTTGTTTTGTGGTACTGAGGTTTGAACTCAGGACCTTGCCCTTGCCAGGCAGGCACTTATGTTACTGAGCTATGTCCCTGGCCCCTGGAGCTCATTTTGTAACCCGGTTTGCTGATCTCAAACTTGCAACAATCCTCCTGCCTCAGCCTCCCTGTTGCTGGGTGTGCACCACCATGCCTGGCCTCCATCATTTGTATATATCACATTTTACTCAATATTCTTAAATTAGTAGACATTTTGGTTTCTTTCTACTTTGGCTATTACAAATCATGTTCTTGTGACCATTAACATGTAAGTTTTTGTGCTAATGTGTTCATTTATCTTCGCTGTAGGTTTGGGAATACATTTGCTAGGTCACATAATTTTGTTTAGCCTTTTGAGGAACAGCCAGTCTATTTTCCAAAGTGCCTGCACCATGTTATAATCCCACTAGCAGTAAGTATAGGTTTTCCACATCTTCACCAACACTTTTTACTACTGTCTTCATGTCAGTGGATGTGTAGTGGTTTCTTATGGTTTTGATTCATATTTCCCTAATGGCTCAATTTGATTCTTTTTTGAAGATCAAAGTTTTCTAGTGAAATTCTCCATTCTCTTATTCATATTCTTGAACATACTAGTCATAACTGAAGGTTGTATCTAGTAACTGTGATGTCTACATCATGTGTGTATTTTTCTGTTCTTTTCTTCCTCTTGGTTTTTGTTCAGGTAGTCTTGTGTTTTTTGCATATTTGATCAAGGTGGAATGCCAGATGTTAGGTATGAAAAATTATGAAGGCTTCTCTACCAAAGATTGTTTTTTCCTGACAAGCAGATAAATATTGGAATGCCACCCTCATGCCACCAGGGGTTGAGGTAGTTCAAGGCTGTGTTGTAGGCATTAGTAGGACTGCTTGTGTTTTGCTTTTGCACCCAGACAGTTCTTGAAGGGCTTCAACTGAAACTCTGAGGTATTTACCAGGGCTTTTCTTTGCTGTTTCTTTCCAGGACCACGAGACAGCCAAAGATTTCTGCTTAGATTTTTTTTTTTTTTTCCTCTTAGCAATTGCTTTCTGCTGTTTCTTGCTCCTTGTTTAATAGGTAGGAATCTGCAAGTGCTTTGGACAGGAAATGGCATAGGGTGATTGATTGTTTTTACTAGAATTACTTTTCTTGAGACCTTGGCCTGTCAAGTACTAGCTGCCCTAAATAACTGGACCTCCCAAAGTTGTTTCCACCCATGATACTGTCCCAAGCTTTGGGTGCTTTTCTCTCTTTGCCTTCTGTACTCCACAAATCAACAATGCCACAGAAGGAAAAGTATCTAAAATTGTAGGACTCAGTTCAGTGTTTTCCTTTCCTTTTGGGGTGTTTGGACTCCTAAGTCTTGGCTAATTAAACTGCTCTCCCATAGTTCTAAACAGTGTTCAAATAGTTCTCAGTGGGAAGGTTATTTTGTACAAGGTACCTACCCCATGACAGCTGGAAACCTGGACTATTTAAAAAATTCATCACAACCTGGCATAGTGGCAGATACCTATAATCCCAGAACTTGGGACCCTGAGGCAGGAGGATCACTGTGAGTTCAAGGCTAGCCTGAACTACACAATAAGATCCTATCTACAAAAAAAAAGAAGGCCTGGGAATATGGCTTAGTGCTCTAGTGCTTACCTGATGTGCATAAGGTTTAATACATGGTGCCACCCTCCAAATGGGAAATAAAGGGAATTATGTGACTTTTAATAAAAAAGTTGATTATGGTTAAAAATCCCTACATAACAATTCTTTTAATCACTTTTAAGCTTACAGTTCAATAGTTACGTATTTAAGTTGTGTAGATTCTAAAACTTCCTATTATACAACTGAAACTCTATATGCATTGAATATCAGCTTTTTTCTCCTCCTAGTCCTTAGCAACCAGTTTTGTTTCCATAATTTTGACTATGCTATATTTTTCCATATAAGTGGAAACAGTGTACGTTCTTTTATATGTAACTTTTATACATTTATTTCACCTTGGATAATGTCATTTCATCTATATTATAGCATATGACATGGTTTCTTTTTAAATACTTATATATTTCATTTTAAGTACATAGCACATTTTCTTTATCCATTCATCTGTCAGAGACATACAGGCTGCTTTCATCTCTTGATCTTGTGGATGGATCAGCAATGCATATTGGGGTTCCAACATGTCTTCAAAACCCTGCCTTCATTTTATATATATATACCCAAAAGTGAGATTGATGATCCTACGGCATTTCTATCTTTTTTTTGGGGGGTGGGGGAAACATTCAAAATTTATTTTCCAACGGACAGACAGCATCAGCAGGTACAAGTCAGGGGCTCTCTGGAGGCCATACATTCACAAGGCATTCTTAGCTCAACAGAGAGAAAGCCACTGGGGTGTCCTTGTGACAGTATGCACTTCATAGTGTAAACAGGCATTAGCATTGCGTTCTCTTACAACTCCAGAAGGAAAGGCACAACGTGGCAAAACACTTTTTTGGATCCTATAGTCAGGTGCAATAAGAGACAAAACTTGGAATAACAGTCTCAATCCACATTTCCACAAGGGGCTTCGACACTCCTCGACCCAGCCCTCTGGTCTTTTCTCCTTAAACACCGAGAGCAATGGTTTATCAAATGCTCGGTATTATTACAAGTACAGAAGGGGATTTAAAAAAAAAAAAAGGAATCAAAGACATCGTGAACATCCAGCTGTTCCCAACAATGTCAACTCTTTAGGTTTAAGACGGAGCCTGGAATACTTCAGCGGTCATAAAAATAGGAAAATAGACTATGGCTACAAAAGTAAAAAATAAATGAGGTAGATAAATTAAAGCTTTCACACCCAGGACTTGCCTGTTCCAACTCCATAGCCTTCATGAAATATGCAAGGGGTGGGAGAACATCTCCATCACTACTTGAGTGGCCCAAGGAAATGAAAAAACAAAAAAATATGAACTCATGATACAAAGGTTTGGTCTTCGGTGAGTTTCAAGAATGAAAATTCTTCAAAACAGAGCAGGGACTGGTGCCCCCAAGTCATCTGAGAACTCCAGCCCAGCGCCTGGCTCTCCTGGTGCCTGGGAGACAAGCATCTGTGAAGTGTGAGGAGTTGTCCACACTCCGGGGGCTCCAGGTGGACTGTATTTATTTAAATAAGCAGTGAGACACACACACCCGGTTTCCCTAAGGACTAAACAAAGCACGCCCACACCAGGGCAGGGGCATACAGTCCTAAGGCTGAAGGAATTCTGCGAACTTGGGTTTTGTTTTTTTTTTTCCTTTTAAGTACATTCAACAAACAAAAGGAAACAGAAGATGGTAAGGGGTTGGGGGAGCCATATTGAACTGGCCCCTAAATAGATGACAGACCTTTGTCCATTCACCCACATAGCATTAGCTGGGAAGTACACAGCAAGTCACCCCCACAATTAGGCTAAGTAGTTGTCTTCCATGTGGTTCAGGAAATTCCAACTGGCACACCTTGACACGGCATTTCTATCTTTGAGGCTTATTTGTATTGTTGTGTACAGTGACCACATCTTACAGTATCATGGGCAATGACAAGGGTTCTAGTTTCTTTGAAAGAGCCTATCTTTGGACTGTATAGCAATTAAATGCAGGTTTTTAGGGTGTTTTGTTTTTTGGTAAGGGATCAAACTCAGCACCTTGCACTACAGGTTTTTAAAAAGTACTGTATAGACATTATTTGGGACTACCATGTCAGGCTAACTAAGCTCATGTTACTTACTATTTTCTGGAGAGGCTTAGTGAGGTAGAAAAGGCATTAAAAGCATGCGCTCTGGAACCAGAATGCCTGGATTGAGTCTGGTTTCCTCTAGGTATCAGCTAACTGATTTTAAGCAGATTTCTTAATTTCTCTGAGTTTCAAGTTTCGTTATCCATAGAACAGTAGCGGTAATCGCGCCTACTTCATAGAGTTCTTAAGAACGAAGTACCTGGTACAAATCTGTACTCCTAGGAAGTTGTATGAAAAGTGAGAGCGCAGCGGTCATGCCTTGGTCGTGCCTCATTGTGAGAGGTGCGTGCATGTGGCTGGTGTGCTGAGCGCTAGAGTTTCAGGCGTTGTTATGCAGCCCGTTCCCTCCGGTGCGTGTGTGTGTTGCTGCTGGATGTCAGGCACCTCCACAGGGCAGCGGTGACTGTGGGCTGTCAGCGGTATGTCTGGCACATCCTAGGGCGCAGAGGTGACGAGCAGGTGCCCCGCACAGCGCGAATGAAGCAATTGTGTCCGCTCCTTGCGTTCCGGTTGAGACGTGCGGAGCAGGGGGCAGCGCAGAGGGCAGGCCAGCGGCGTGGGGTAGGCAGAAGGGGCTGCACACGTCGTGGGTCCCACACCTGTCGGGGAGCGGGGCCCCGGACCGCGCGCGGAGGGCGGCGGTCCCACACCTCCCGGGCCAGGGCGCCGACGGCTGCGCGCGCGCGTGCGGCAGGGGGGTCGGTCCGCACCTCCGACCGCGAGCCCGGTGCGTGTCGTAGGAGGTGTCGTTACACACTTCCTGTGGGTCTCACAGACCGCGGCGCGCTTCCGGTGCCGGCTGGAG